TGGGGAAGTTCCTGATGGGACTCTTCTTCTTAACACCACTGGAGTTCTCCATGTGGTGGTACTTGACATTGCCCTGCTCCGAACTGATGGCGTACACATCCCGCTCGAAAGCAGGCGTAGCCTCGGTATCGACTTCACGGTACAGCTGCTGCATGTGGACGATGCCAACGCGCTTGGAGCTGGCCGAGAGTAGGATCTTGTAGAGAGGCTTGGTTAGGCGGGCAAGATCGCCGCGGAGAAGCGACGCCTGCAGCCAGTTGGTCACAAAAGTGCGCTCGGACATATAATGTGGTAAAGCGAGGGTGTCCAGCACTTTAAGCAGCGTTTTCTCGAATCCACGTGTAGTCTGCTTATCCCTGCCGAGGTGCCACAACAGCTCGAATTTTTTGAAGCTTCGGGCCTGACTTTCTCTCAATCTTTCCGTGGACTCCGTAGGACAGAGGAGTTGAGCATCCGCCAAACGCTCCAGTTGGAAGTTACGTAGGGCAGTTTTTCCCAAATCTGCACGGGATTGCGGCTGTATTTGTAGCAAATGTTGGGCTTGCATTCGATTCCCGATGATGGTTTCCACCAGACCGCTTTCCAGGCAGCTGTGTAGCTGATGAAGTAGCGCAGCAATCTGGGCAGGATCTATGCCTGCAGCGCCTAGGTAATCCCACAAAATGGAGCTCACCAATTGGAACACGCGCGTTTGCTGCTCCATGTAGCTGACATGACCAAACTTTAGAAGCGGCAGCATCACCACGAAGGTAACTCCTGGACTGGTCGTATGCTCGATTTGCGAGCGAAGTAGGCTGAAACGCATTATAAAAGTAGTAGTAACCAATAGTGATCAATGAGGGGTACTTCATTGGCACTCACCTTATCAAATCGAAGAGAGTGGTAATAGACGCCACCTGCAGCTCCTTGTCGCTTTGGGCAAAGCAGGCCACCAGGCACAGGACCTTCAACCAGTTTGGCAATTCAGGCTCTGAAAGGGAACACAAAAATCATTAATCTGAAAATCCTGAATTCATCCAATCTTCATCATCATTACACTTAGAAAATGTTACAGAAGTTGTTACTGATTCTAGCTCCCACTCACCATTCTTGTCCAGCACGATGTGTTTATTGCAGTTGGGGAAGGTAGACATCTCCACCAGCAGAGTAGCCGCTAGTTTAACTGCTCCACGCAGAGAGCTGCTCAATTGAAGCTCGGCTAGTTGCTGTACACTACGCTGCGTCTGTCCATCAATAAGCAGGCTCTGTTGCTTCTCCTCCTGCGCCTCGCTGTCGCTGCTTAGCTCACTAGCACTGGAGGGCAGCGGCAAGGATCGATTGAGCAAGCGCTGCAGCTGCTTGGAACGCGGAACAATGTCCACCCGAAGCAAGTTAAACAATCGCTCGATTTGTGACTCCCTCTGTGGACACTCGTGATCCAGCACCTGCTCGGCCATAAAAAGATTGGATGTATGGATGGTGCTTGTGGTTCGCTGTAGCTGCACCTTCACTGCGCATTCTTTCGGCTCCGCCTCAATATGGAGCAGTTTACGGGCCAAGTAAACCTCGAAGAAGATTTCGTACTGGCGAATGCACTTCTCCAAAATGGAGAACCCGCGCTGTTGTGAAGCTCGGCTCTCCTCATCCAGCTGGAACTGCGGCGACTGATCCGGCGGAGCACTCTTTGGCTCTTCTGCACTAGGTCCATCTCTCACCTCCGTTGAAGCATTCGACTCAATCAGGACAATATCCTTGGGTCGCTGCTTTTTGGGGCTTCGTATGAATGGCACCCTAGCCTTGGCCTTCAGCTTCTTTATGCTCCGCGGGGTGTCCAGATCCGAGGATGACTGCGGGTCTGAGGCGCTGATCTGTATTCAAGAAATGATTAATTACAGATTTATGTTTTTACAAAAGTTACTCACATCCTTATCCAGCTCCGAGAGTCGAGAAATTGACTTGGCCTTCTTCTTGCTGGGACTTTGACGTCCCACACTTTGATTGGACGCTGAGCGCCGGATGAGCTCTTCATCGTTGAGATCGGCCCCTTGCAGTGTGTGCTCCGCAAATTGGTTTAGCCGTGAGTCGGATTTGCTCTTCTCCAGGGAATTTCCATGCGCTCCGTACTCCACCTTTCCGGTCTCACTCGCCGAATTCACAGTAATCTTCTCATCCGACGAAGAGCCCCCGCTCTGATCTACCAGCTTGTTCAGTTTTATGGGACTTCTGCGGGTAAAACAAAGAGATAAGAGGGTTACTAAGGATCGCCTGATGCTTCTTTGTTTCTTGTTTTTCGCTTACGTTATCATAGGCTGCACCCTCGAGACGATTTTCATGCAGAGCTTAAGCGACGAAGTGATCTCGTTGCTGCTCACGTGGTCCATGTGTAGGGAAAGAAGCTGGGTGATGGCCAGGAACACCTTCGGAAGGTATACCCTGGTTGTTTCCGTGTACATCTCCAGAGAAACGGTTTCCAGTAGGAATTCTGTCAGCACGCAGATCTCCATTACACAGGGATCGCCAGATCCGACGTCGCATGCGTATTTTCCGGAGGTTTCTCCCGGCTGAGACTTATCCTGCGCGGGGTTCGCCTGTTGGCAGGCCTTTTCAAACATGTTGGTCATGTAGCTCCAAATATAAGCTGGATCAAAGGTGGCAAACAGCAGATTGGCAGACTTTAAAGCCTCCGCATTGCCACTCGAGATGTACATGGCCCGAATTATGTCATGGAGCACGTAGTCCAGCACAGCGCTGCCAATCTCCGCCTTGTCGAGTAGGGAGAGCATGATCCTGTAGGGCTTTAGGTCCATTGGGGCACACTCCAAACTTAATCTCAGGGTAGTGATTAAAGCTCTGATAAGAATGTGGCGCGAATGCTTAATGAAATACGGTTCTGGTTCCTCATCTAGTGGAGCGTTTGAGGTGTCCAACGATAGGGTATCATAGGTTGGCGAGTTCTTCGCCACCTCGCTGCCTAAGAGCCAGCTGAACAGTCTCCTGTTGAGCGACATGTCCCTGCGGAGTATGGTATTGAGCCCGTTGGTGACTAGTTTCACCAAGTCATCCTCGGAGAGCAGCGCCGTGTGCATGGGAAAGCCAAGCAGCAGGAACTCCAGCGTGTTTCGCTGCACCAGGATCAGCGAATCGTTCAGGCAGACACACAGGGCCGACATCATGATCTCCCTGTTGTGCCCCATGATGTAGATCTGCTCCTGCATGTCCAATCGCTTGTTGAAGTGCTCCAGCAGGTAGGTGATGGCCGGCAGGCGAATGGTTGCATTGTTGGCCACAGACTCCCATAGGACCGTGTAAAAGTGCATGGGATTGACGGCATTGCACACTTGTTTGAGCAGAGAGCTAATGCGCTCGAAGTGATCTAGTCCGCAGTCGTATCCGGGTAGTACGCCATTTAGGAAACCGCTTAGAGCGGGCCGCAGCTTGTCACCCAGGGGTACGAAATAGGTTTCATAGATGGTCAACAAGGCGGGACGCACATTCATGGCCGCGTAGCCAAGGAGCGGGAACAAACCAGCGCTGTGGGGATGAAAAATACGCCTCAGTTAAACAACAACTTGGGTTATCTGTGCCACCGACCTGTATATAAACTCCGTGGCCAGGCGCTCCGGTCCTGTTTTGCTGAATATTACCGAGTAGGTCTCCAGGGCTTTCAGATGCACCCCGGAGGGCAGGGCCGGGTGCATGCATTGGGCCAGTCGCTTGGCTATCTTCAGTCGCCGGGGTATGACCTGGTACTGCGTATTGCTCGATATCGCCTGTCGAAAAGGGGGGAAGCAAATTAACCAACGAGTCGAGATAAGGGTCCCCGGAAACCGCTGTGAGTCAGTGGCTCCAGGGCTTATCTGGACTGCCACCAAGGGAGCCAGCTGTACCTTGCTGAGTTTGCCCAGGGCCGAAATCAAATCCGCCCATTCGCTGGAGTACTCGAAATTGCGCAGCGCCTTGTCGATGTTGGTCATGTAAGTGCGATACTTGGCCTCGGCCATCAGCTTCTGCTCCTCAACGAGTGCGTCCGCGGACTCCATGGCGACGTCTTTTGCCAGTGGCTCTATCTAACTATCTATAATTCGGTAGGTTCGATGGTTTTTGGATGGCAGAGCTCTGCGAATAATCAATAGCAATCAATTAGCAAACACTTGTTGCCCTCCACACTGCGTCCTTGAGTTCCAACTCCCACACACACTTTGTTTTTCACTTAAATTTTGATGGGCTGCATATTTGAGCAGTGTGGCAGGCGGAGCACCTGTGAAAAACTGGGTATTCTTTGTGCGAGCGGTTCCGCTTAATTGGAGGGGCTGCCAATTGACCCCACATATACTAGGGGCTCCGATTTGCTCAACTGCAATATCGGGCAAAAGCTAATGTCGCGTGGCAGGAACAAAAAAAAAATACATTTCTGAATAAATTTAAACTCTCTCTCTTGGCAAAGTGCAGTTAGGTCTGCGGGGAGAGAGAGCGAAGAGAGAGGACCAGCTGATGACGAATATTCTGCTGTTTTCATATGTGGTGTGGGGAAGGGGAGAGGGGGCGCGTGACGGGACAGACGTACTTTGTTGTTGTCCCCTGATCGATGTTTTCACTTTCCAGACACCACTCCGCACTTTTTAATTGCTCCCCCTTACCGCAGCTGAAGTTGGTCGACTTTAACACATTTTACATTGTCTAATATTGCACTTTTGTTTTTATATTGCATTTACATGGCAAATTTTTTGCTGTAACTCGCTAGCGATGGACCACCGATTGATAACCGTGACCTCTTCACCAGTATTCTTAAGCCGCGATAACAATTCAGTGGCGTGTTTCACAAATCTGCAAACTATTACAACACAAGCTTTAAAAACTTAATTTATGATAGAAGTTAACCAATTTTACACTTCTGTTTTGACCAAATGAGGGACTAATAAAAGAACATTTAGCGTGATTACACAAATTTACTTCGTGACAGATCACCAGTTCAAGTTATCGATATCAAGTCCAGTACGGTTTAATCGAAATTCAAAATACAGTTCCTTTGAAAGTCAATGGTTTTAATGTATCTTTCAGAAACTCAATAAATTACTAACTGATTCAATAATTTAGCCATAGTTCAAATAAATACGAAGGTTTGTTAAATGCAAACGCATAACTTAAAAGAGATGAATTGAACTGTGCCAGTTCGTGACTAAAGATTTGCCATCGAATGCGTGATTAGAAAAGTTGAGGTAAATGTCCAGCGTTATAAGTTATGAGGTGCGAGGGTCCAGGGCCTACTTCTTTTTCTTGCCCTTGCCCTGTCCACCGGCGGCTGGGATTCCAGTCAGTGCGGCCAGCTGGTTTTTCAGGCCCAACAGAATGTCAACTTCGGGTTTCCACAACGCGGCATCGCCCGAGGCCTTCAAGGTCCTGACCTTTTCGGCCTGCTGAGCGATTTTGTCTTCCAACGCTTTGACCTGGGCAGCGTCTGCAGAGGCGGCGGGTGAAGGAACGGAAGCAGCAGCGGCAGGAGCTGCCTTGGCTGCCTTTTGAGCCGCCTCCAATTGTTTCTTGAGGTCTAGCAGCACATTTACCTCTGGCTGCCACACGGCTTTGTCTTTTGTGCTTCCCTTGAGCTTTCGCACTTTGTCGCCCTGCTCCTGGATAGCCTTCTCCAAGTCTTGGACTGATTGTGAGCCATTAGAGGGAGCAGGAGCGGCAGCAGGGGTGGCAGCAGGCGCAGTCTTCTTAGCCTCTTCCAGTTGTTTCTTGAGGGCCAGCAATTTGGTCACCTCCGGTTGCCACACAGCCTTGTCCTTGGTGCTTGCCTTCAGCTCACGCACTTTATCCGCCTGAGCCTGCACAGCTTGCTCCAATTCTGCAGCGCTGGTTTGACTCTGGGCAGCAGACTTTGTCTCCTGAGCTCCGCCGTACTTGCTCTTGAGCTCGTCAATGAAGGACTGCTCCAGTTTGGCAAAGAGTGGAGCCGGTTTTCCGATTTTGTGACCAGCACGGAGAAGCAAAGTGGCAAGCGGCTTCCTGGAATGGAATAACAGATTAGGATAAATTTGATCATTCATTTAACAGGCACTTACTCTGCATTCAGCGGCGTCTGCTTGGCATTGAGCTGACCGAACAGAGTCCTAGCCGTAGATGGCATGTAAGGGAAGAGGAGATTCGCCAAGAGGCAGGCGATGTTGACACAAAGACCAATAATGGTGGATGCTCGCTTCTTTTGATCATCGGTGCCCTTCAGCAGCACCCACGGCTGCTGAGTTTGCATGTAGCCATTGCCATGTCGGGAAATAGCCAGCAGATGTCGAATGCCATCGCGCAGCTTGGCTTTCTCCAGGGAGTTAATATAACCACGCAGTTCGCGGTTAATCAAAGCCAGCAGCACAAGCTCATCTTGAGTGGTGGCCACTTCAGGAACAGTGCTTTCGAAGTTCTTTTCGCAGAAGACCAAAGCGCGGTTCACAAAGTTTCCTAAGTTATTCAGCAGCTCGGAGTTGTTGCGGGCAGCCAGATCGTTCCAACTGAAGCTGGAGTCCTGACCTTCGGGTCGGGCGGAGGCCAAATAGAAACGCCATACATCAGCTGGAATGCCAGTCTCCTGAGCATCGTTGCCAAAGACACCAATACCACGACTCTTGCTGAACTTGCCGTCCTCGTAGTTCAGATACTCGGTGGCCATGATGTGTGAGACCAGGGTGTGACCCTTGTTGATAGCGAGCAGGACACTGGGCCACACTACAGAGTGGAAGGGCACATTGTCCTTGGCCATGAACTGGAAGAGCTCTACATCTGTGCCCTTGGCTGGCTGCCACCACTGCTGGTACTCCTTGGTGTAGCGCTTGGTCATGGACACGTAGCCAAATGGAGCATCGAACCACACGTAGAAGACCTTCTTTTCGAAGCCCTCGTGCGGCACGGGGATACCCCACTTCAAGTCGCGGGTGATGCAGCGCGGCTTCAGACCCTCCTTCAGCCATGCCCTTGTGATCACCTTGGCGTTGTGCGTCCATCCTCCCTCCGACTTGTCCACCCATTCTTTGAGCTGTGCTTCCGCTTTAGGCAGATCGATAAACAACTGATCGGAGGATCGCAGCACAGGGGCGCTGTTGCACACCTTACACCTGGGACGGATCAGCTCCGTGGCATTCACCAGCTTGCCGCACTTGTCGCACTGATCGCCACGGGCATCCTCATAGCCACAGCCAGGATGTGGGCAGGTGCCCTCCACAAATCTATCGGGGAATTGTAAATTAGTTTAATTTCAAAATAAGCAAAAAAAAACCCACCGATCTGCTAGGAACCGGTCGCACTTCTGGCAAAGCAGCTGCTCTACGCTCTCTGTAATGATGTAGCCAGCTTTGAGGACATCTTGGAACGCCTCCTGTACAATGCTATGAAAATTCAAAAGACGTTTGATTAGGAGGCCTTAGTTTGAGCACCCAAAACTCACTCTGTTTGCTCCTGGGTTGTGGTGCGTCCAAAATAATCAAAGCCTATGCCGAACCAGCGGTAGATGGCGTTGTGTAGTTCAAAGTACTTGTCGCAGATCTCTCGAGGAGTGAGGTTCTCGGCCAAGGCCTTGTTCTCCGTGGCGGTGCCGTACTCATCCGTGCCACAAATCAGGAGTGTGTTGTATCCAGCGGAACGCGAGTATCGAGCATAGATATCAGCAGACAGCACACAGCCAATGATGTTGCCCAAATGTGGCACATTGTTGACGTAGGGAAGAGCCGAAGTGATGAGCACGTTGCGTTCTCCAGCTTTGGGAAGAACAGTGCGCTCCTCCTTAAGTTCCTTGGGAGCTGTGTAAGTAAAGGCAGCCTGTGCCGCACTGATCTCCTCGTCAGTAACTGTGTCTGCCACCGTGGGGGTGGTATCCACCAGCAGTTTGCCCGCATCCGCCAGGCTGAGACGTTTCAGCGGGACATGATGTAATCCTCCATACCGATTGGACTGCTGCAGCGCATTGAAGGTGAGGTCCTTCAGCGGCTGTTCGTTCAGAACCTGCTGCACCTCGGGAAGGGCCTTCACCCTGCCATACCAATCCCTCAAGCTGTCCACGTTCTGGGCGCCTTTTAGCGTGCCATCCGGAGCCAGGAGCGACCACACGGCGATGTCGGCGGAAGTGAGTTTGTCGCCAGCAAGAAAGGGCGAGGATTTTAAGCTGTCGTCCAGTTTCTTGACCAGGGCATTCAGCACTGGCAGTGCGTTGGGATCCGCCTTGTGACCCACGGCCATGTGGTGGGCCAAAGCCGGAGCGAGCAACGTGGCAGACCATTCCAGCCACTGCGGGGGAGCAGAAACAAATTAGTTTAACCTTCAGGGGTCATGGGCCAATAAGTCTTTTTTGGGAGCCCTACCTCATCGCGCCGCTGCCCCTCGTCCACGAGAAGGTACTTGGCAATGGCCGCCGGTGAGAAGAGGCGCAGTCCGTTGTCCAGCTCCAAAGTGGGTAGCACCAGCAAGTCCTTGAACTTGGCGTCTGCAATATCCAATGGTTATTGCATCAGAAATTAGTCACTTAAGGGCATTCCCTGGAATTCAAATGGAATTCGAGGTACAACTCACCATTTAGGTTAACCAGCTGCACCTGCACCGGTCGCTTGGCGAACTTGGCCAGCATCAGCAGCTGCAGTCCCAGCGGATTGCCCTCGTTCGTGTAGATTATCATCTTGCCGGGATCGTGCGCTACTTCTAATTCAATTTACGTGGCAAAAAGGGTTAAAAATCCAGCCAAATTCTGGATGCCCACGAGAAACTATTATTTTGGTGATGGAACGATTGGAAAAGCTGTCACGCCGTCGTTCTTGTTATCGATTATTTGGCGGGGGTTTTGACTTCTAGCTATTTATTATCCATGGAATGTCACTTGCATATATATATTATTTATGTATACGTAGTTGTTTATTTATATGCTGTATGACAAATATGTACATGAAATCGTGGTTTCAATGAATTAACTATACTGCCTGGAACAATGGAATATTTTTATTGACTAATATTTCTACCATACCAACATCGTATTTTGTTAGCTACTTTTAGCTGTGATCAACTAAGCAAAAAGGCCACCACTAGCGGCTTGAAACAGCTGTTTTCTATACAAAAAGTTTTTATTTACATTGGATATTCAGAATCCAAGATCTAAAATAATTTAAATTAAAGGAAATCCAGCCATCTAAAAAATGGGTGAACGCAAAGGTCAAAACAAATACTATCCGCCCGACTATGACCCGAAGAAGGGCGGCCTCAACAAGTTCCAGGGCACCCACGCGCTTAGGGAACGCGCCCGAAAGATTCACCTCGGGATCATCATCATCCGCTTCGAGATGCCCTACAACATCTGGTGCGAAGGATGCAAGAACCACATTGGCATGGGTGTGCGCTACAATGCGGAAAAGACCAAGGTGGGCATGTACTACACCACACCGGTTTTTAAGTTCCGAATGAAGTGCCACTTGTGCGACAATCACTTCGAGATTCAGACGGATCCCGGCAATCTAGACTATGTTATACTCTCAGGAGCACGACGGCAGGAGAACCGCTGGGATCCTTTGCAGAACGAGCAGGTGGTGCCGGAAACCAAGGAGGTGCAGAAACGGCTCTTTGACGATGCCATGTACAAGCTGGAACACCAAGCCAAGGACGCCAAGGCAGGGGCAGATGCCAAGCCGGTGCTCCAGAAGCTGATGGAGCGCAATATGAGTGTCTGGGATGACAGCTACGTGGCCAATTGTCGCCTCCGTTCAGAGTTCCGTCAGCAAAAGAAAGAGATCAAGGGGCAGCAGGAGCTGGATCGGCAATTGCTGGCCAAGAGCAGTCTGGACATTGCCCTTCTGCCGGAAACTAGTCAGGATCGGGAAATGGCCGCCCTGATGAAGCTACAGACCAGGTCCGCTCTGGAACGGGAATCCGAACAGCGGCTGGAGCTGCTCATGCGTCCAGCTCTGCCGGGAGCAACAGCCACCACTTTTGGTGGCCTCAAGCGGCAAAAGGCGTTAAACAGCCAGCTACATTTAGAGGATCTCGGCATTCGGCGCAGAAAGTTGGACAAAACCCAAGCCCAAGCCCAAAGCACAAATGAAAAACCCCTCAGCCTGGTGGGGGATTACTCTTCCTCAGACAATGACTCAAACAGCTGAATTCACAATGCATTTGTTTATACATAATACAATAATTATAAAAAAACACGACGTCGTACCAAAAAAAACCTAATACAATCCTTCATTGGGATCCGCAGCTTCCGCGTCTTCCACCCCATTTTCCAGATTAACTTCGATGGGATCCTCGTTGATTTGCCCATCTATCGTTTTGCAGAGCACCGTCTGGATGCGTTTGCATAATTGTATGCGTTTTACATTCTGATTGTCGCTGGCCATGTCGTTCACTAGATCCTCGACCAAGCGCAACTTGTTGTAGAACTTGTTTATTTCCTCCATTATGTCCTCTCTTCTCAAGCTTAGGGTCTGCATTTCACCAATCAGGTCCTTGAGGCCATCATCATTGGCGTTCACTGGCGATGGCTCCTTGGCGAACACGCGCGGTTTGATGGGTTTGTTCACCGGCGCATTTGCCAAGGACTTGATATTCTCCAAACCAGGTGCTTGTGAGTCGAAGAACTTCTTGAACCACTGCAAGAACTCAAAGTTGTCCTGGAAGCGTCCCTTGATCAGACGATCGATGGGCACCGCTTTGTCCACCTTCAAGCGATTGAAAGCTTCCTGGAAGAGCCTAAGATTATGGAGATACTCGTGCTCCAGTTTGGCGGTCATCTTAACGCGCTTCAGGTTGATGCAGTTGGGAAAGATCATCTCCATCATCTGGCAGTAGGCGGCACCTAGGGGAAAACTTTGGTTTGAGCAAGGGAAGAGTGGTTCATTAAGGGATTCTTACCCGAGCACAGCTCCTCGATCTTCTTGAAGTGTCCCTGGACCATGTTGTTGACCCACTGGAGCATATCGTGCCGGGACATATTCTCCCCATTAACGCTGGTTAGTGCCACGGTTAACTTTACGTCAGTCATCTTTTTGGTTGTTAGAAAATGTCACCCTTTTACTGTTACTCCTCTGTCCTTCAAGCGTTTCTTTGTCTTTGAGATTTTACGGCTCACTTCTTATTTTTGATCAGTCGTAGGATTGTATTTGATTCTGTGAGTTTTTGGACCCGCCTGCTTCTCACACAAATGACCTATTGATATCTAAATGTATATTTTACTGAACAGATTTCTGTCGCCAATTTGATCAATTACTTTAACTCCGGTTCCCGATTTCAATGCTTCCAGGATCAGTGATGGGAGGTTATTAAGCGCGTGTACCTGGCTGCATAACCAGGTACCCAATTTAGTATTTTTTAAGCTTAGGGACCAAACATAAAAATACCGCTTACCTTGAAAAAAATATTATTTAAAATTATATTAAAGGATGAAAAAAACCATGATTAAAAAATTATCATAAAAATTTATTCCTATGAGTTTGAATCCGCTTCTCAGGAGTAATTCAGATTCACCCATTCACAGATTCATTCGGCAAAGTATATAAAAAAAAGTAAACTATAGAAATCAAATTCTTATTGATATATTTATGAAAAAATGTGTATATAAATATTTTATTTTCAGACTATCCAACTAGGTACCAGAAAATGAAACGTTTTCCATTTGTGACCAGGATCAAACACAGTTGAGTTATCTTTAAGTTATCGATAACAGCTGAAACCCGCCTTTTTTGAAAAAGAAGTTCCTTTATTGAAAAAAGTCTACAGAGACTTAATTTTAAATTTACGTTCCACCGTCTTTACGAACTCTATGAAGTCCTTGTATAGAACATTAGGAACCTCCATAGCCGCAAAGTGTCCTCCGTTTTTGTGGTAGGTGCTGTGCACCAAATTCGTGAATTTGTCCTGCAACTGGTAGTCCAGGAACTGCATGATGTCATGCTTGAAACGCGCACATCCCGTGGGCACCGGAGTGGGAACTCGCTCCATCTGCAATTCCCGCTGGGCCTGGGCGTACTGCTCCGCATACAGACGCTGCGAGGTGGTGATTGAGTTGGTCAGGTAGTAGATCATCACATTGTCCAACAGGGCGTCCATTTTATAGCGCTTTGTGAGTCCTCCGTCCGGCAGAGATCGATAGCTGGGATTCGTCCACGTGGAGAACTTCTCCAAGATGTAGGCAGCCAATCCCACTGGATTGTCGGCGAGTGTGGCTCCAATAGTGTCCGGCTTGGTGGCTTGGATGTGGAAGTAGCCGGTCTCCTCCAACAGGTACTTCAGCTCATTGGACTTCGGGAAGAAGAAGTCCTCGGAGCCTGAGGGAGCAAACAAGCTGGGCCAAAAACCAGCCACAAAACCCTTAATCAAGGATTTGGGACTAATGTTGTTGCACAAATTCGAGTGGTAGCCCAGGACGTTATCCGGGTATAGAGTGGCAATGTTGCTGCCGATGACGCTGCCCCAGTCTCCACCCTGGATGAAGAACTTGTCGTATCCCAAGCGCTGCATAAGATTCTTCATAATCACGGCTATCTGAGCGGATCCTAGACCCTTCCTCGAAGTGCCCTGCAAGATCAGAGATGGATTAGCCCGTGAAGACCCGGTAAGATCACCCACAACTTACCTCCGACCAGCCGTAACCCGGCAAACTGGGAACCACCACGTCGAAGATGTACTTGTTGTTCTTGTCCAGGTTGCTCTGGTGCAGCAAGTGGATGAGGTCGTAGAACTCCCGCACAGATCCCGGCCAGCCGTGCAGCAACAGCACCGGATAGTGCTTCTTGCCCACCTTGTTGTCATCATAAACCATCAGGTGAAGAAAGTGCATGCGTAGCCTAGAAACCCGTAACCCAATCCCATCGTTACTATCTGTGGATATGATAAGTGCCGTTCTTATCTCACCCCTGAATATCGGTGGTGAAGTGGTTGAACTGCCAAAGGAACACCTCGCGTTCCCGCCAACGCGGCAGGTAGTCATCGCGCCAGTACTCCACGACCTCCTTAAGGTAGTCCGTATTGAAGCCATATTCGAAGGCCACGCCCTCGAGGGGAGGCGTAAGGCGCAGGGTCCCATTGAGGCGGCTCTTTAGGTCAGCAATGGTCTACAGGTGGCCAGAATATAATAATTAAAAAGCCAAATAAAATAGATAAGCACACTCACCTTCTCCGGGTAACTAAGTTTGTTGTTTATCACCTCCGAATTGTTGGCCAAATAGGCGGCGTAATCCTTGGGCTGCTCCGCATCGCCCCACCACTCCTGGGGATCCAGCTGGGGAACAGGCAAATCGGCCCACAGTTGGCTCACGTTCTTATAGACCAAACCACCGCCAATGGCCAGTACACAGACCAGAATTTTAACAGCGACACCCATCTTTACCTATCAGCGGTTCCACTCACTCTGACTGGGAATCCAGCTCCGGTTCCGACGATTCCATATATCATCGCGGGCGCAGCTCTCGATTTTGTCGCTCACGATGATAAGCGATTTTGAGTGACCACCCTACAGTCCATCAGTTAAGGCTTATCAACAGGTTTTCTTCGAACTATACTGAGACCAGGTAGCGGCTTGTGAAATTCGGGGATGACTCGGAATAATGGGCTTGTTTGTTTATTTACTCGAAAAAGCTTTAGTGCCGGTTTTTCGTTGGAAGCTTTTTGGTGGAACGATCCGAGGGAGGGTTTTATATTAGATATTTCGCGACGCAGCTGGGGTTCCAAATTAGGTAGGTATACCCTTTGGTATTGAACTAGCTTAGGGTAGACTTCACTATGATTTTTTCATTAGCTAAACACTTTTTGAAGAAATTGTCTTTGTTATATCTTAAGAACAACTTTAAGAAAGGGTGTACCAAAGTCGACTACAAACAAGTCGCTTAAAATGACGTAACGCTGTTCTGAGCTTAGATTTATCTATGTACAGTGTACACCTATAAAAAGCAAGCAAAACTTGCCCATTGCTTCTTCACTTTATAACTTATCACAGTTCCCAAGAAAAACACTCTTCAACTTTCAGTTTTCAAAGCAGATAAGGCAAATACAATCACCAAGCCGATTTGTTTTAATTTTCGCAACAAACATTGCTGTTTCTTTTATAAAAATATACAACGTGATCCTAAAACTAATTAAAACTCAGCCTTTTGGACAAAGCTGACAAAGTCATCGTACAGCTTCTGGGGCACCTCAAAGGCTGGGAAGTGACCGCCTTCCAAGTGGTGGGAACTGTGCACCAGATTGGGGAACTTGTTGGCCAAAACAGAGTCGGGAAAGTGGGCAATTTCATGGGCGAAACGGGTGCATCCAGCCTTGGCCTTGATGGGCAAGGAATCCACTGCCAAAGCGAACTGCGATCCAATCATGGATTCCGAGTACAGACGCATGGAGGTGGTAATCGAGTTGGTCACGTAGTAGATCATCACATTATCCAAAAGCTGATCGTAGGTGAACCGCTTGGTTAGTCCGCCATCAGGGAGCGATCTGTATGAAGGATTCGTCCACGTGGAGAACTTCTCCAGAATATAGCCAGCCAGTCCAGTCGGATTGTCGATCAGGGCATTTCCAATGGTGTCCGGTTTGGAGGCCTGAATGTGTGCATATCCCATTTCCTCGAATATGATGCCGAACAGGTGGCCCAATCCCTTGTAGAAATCCGCATACTGGCTGTCCACAAACCAGCTGGGGAAGAACGAGGCCAGCAGGGTCTTAATTTGACCCAGGGGGCTGTTGTTTCCGCACATGTTCGAATGGTAGCCCAGTACGTTCTCCGGGAAAAGCGACGCTAGATTGGATCCAATTATCGAACCCCAATCGCCGCCCTGCACCAGGAACTTCTCGAATCCCACTCGGAGCATCAAGTTGCGCATCACCACGGCCACTTGGGCCACACCGAAGCCAGTTTTTGAAGAGGCCTGGAATTGGAAAATTAAATGTGGTTATAATTCTATAGGGAAGATTATGGTTTTACATAGTTTAAATAGAAGAAGTACAGCTTTTAAATATGCAGATAACTCAGCTAGATGATTAAAAACGAAAAATATATTAATCAATCATAATAAGACAATAGGTATATACCCAAAGTTAAAAAAAAGTGTAATCTTGTTGGGCTCAGTCAAGCTTTTCGTATAGAAAATAATCAGTTTCACGGTTAATGAACCTCTTATTCCCTCGAGACATCAGAACTAACCTGAGACCATCCGTAGCCCGGCAGACTGGGTGCAATCACCTCGAAGACGTAGTCGCTCTTATCGCTGGGCGTGGTCAAGAGGGGAATGAAGTCGTAGAACTCGCGAACGGTTCCTGGCCATCCGTGCATCAGGAGCAGAGGTAGAACCTTCTTGGGCTTCTGGCCTTTCACCTGGCTCGGCTTGGCATGAATAAAGTGAATTTTCAAACTGCAAAAATGGAAAGCATTTGGGGTTAAGTTTCGGTTTTAAAATGCAAATGCTGGTCCACATGCCGGCAACTAATTATGCATGTGGAAAATGGATTGCCATTAATGTGGCTCGACTTACCCCTGGATCTCCGTTTGGTAGTGGTCCAGCTTCTTGAGGAACTGCTCGCGTTCGCTCCACTTGGCCAGATAGGAATCACGCCAGTATTTCACCACTTTGGCCAGTTCCTTGGCATTGAAACCGTACTGAAAACCGACGCCTTCCAGCGGTTCTTGGGCCTTCAGAGGACGACTCAGTTGGCTCTTCAGATCCTCAATTACCTGTGGGGTAAAGATTAGGATTTTTAGGTATAGGAAAGGTAGACTAAATAGTTGTTAGTAATTGGCTTAAACAACTCCATTATGATGAAAGACTCTCATTGAAATAAAACAATAACATATAAAATATTGTTTATTGGGTTTTATATTATAACGATATCGCAATGATAATGTTGTAGATGAAACATAGCTTACCTCGGGTTTGACGCTGATGTCGAAAGGCAGGATGGCTTTATTCTCGCGATAAGGTCCCTTTAAGGCTGGACCCCAGTAAGCATTGTTGTCCAGATCGGGCCTCTTTCCTGGCGCCGAAAGGTCTCGATAGTTTTTGTAGCCAACGGCCACCAGGATGGCAAGTCCTCCGACCAGGAACCGCACGAATAAATTCGCCATGGTGGCTATACTATATTCTATAAATATACAAAAGTATGTATATTGGAAACACCCCTCTGCCAACTGCACAGCCAACGATCAGAACACAAATGATTTTTAAAGTCCAAGCAGCCGGCGAACTAAAGCTTTTGCTGGCTTGTGGATCCCAAATGGATCCTATTCTCCACTGCACTGCAAAGTGAGCATGATTTGGCAAAAAGTACGCGAATTTTAGGGAGCTTTTGGCGACAAATTGAAGGAGAGCAATTAATGGAAAAAAGTTTTTAAACAAACTATTGGGGATGATCTGCCCGTTTCATTTATCAAGCCCAACCAAAAAAGACACAATTCATGCTTAGACTAACAATTGATACATATTTGCGGTCGAACTGAATAAAGTAAAAATACCCATAATAATAGATTTTGAATTTCACTTATCAACACGCGAGAACTTTGATATGTACGAGTCAATAGACAATCGATGGCGTTTATTTATTGACAACCAGATGCTTTTCATTTTAAGTTGATTGCTTACAATTTGCACCTGGAGGTCATTTAGTAAATTTTATATTAGTTTTCAGAATTCTTTTCTTAAATATTTTATAAGCAGTTGGTTAATAACAAAAGCAAGAGAAACCCTAAATGAGGCTTAACTCGTTATGATTAGTACTTTCAGATTTGAAAATTCAAGCTACGTTCCCTAAAAATGGAGTACACCCATTCCAAAATAGATTTTTAAAATAAATTTTTGGATCAATAAATAGAAATCGACCATTGCTGACTCGGAGTGGTTCAGCTTTAGTTTCATTTAATCTCTGTATCCCTTTGCTGAAAAGATTTTTTTTTATTGAGACCATACAAGAGCAACAAAAATTATATTATATAAATTAAATATGTATTGTAATACAATTAATAAAACTAAAAATAATTAATTGTATTGAGTGCGTTCACTACTTTTGGATCCAATCAAAATAACAAAATTCAATAAATTGTATAAATTGTTTTGTAACACTCTGAAAAGTGTAATCTTTCAAGAAGTATCGAAAAAAATGTTAGCTTTTTATTTAAGATGGTGGCCAAAAAATTAACTTTTTGGACCAGAGTGCAATGTTCATGTTTCCGCCTAGTACTAACAGTTCATATCAGTTTATTGTAAAAGTAACATTTTTTAAAAACAAATTGAGAGAACGGAAGGCACTATGCTTATCATAGGGTATTATTGTAATCTATTTTCCCTGTAATATATTTTTTGTTAAAGCTAAAATGCTGTAATATTTGTTAAGTAAGTATAGCTCGGTTCACAGGGTTGGAGATAAGTACAATGTACTTACCTGAAGGGATACAAAAATATCAAGACATAAACAAAAGGCTGTCTATCACTATGAAGATTTAAATCACCTCACCGCTAAAGTAAATTTTAAGAAAATAATATTTTGGTCCACTGGAGAGGTACTATTGTTATAATAAGTTATAGTTAGGTTACGAATTTAAAGCTGTGTCATTTGAAGTCCGATGCTAAGGCCAAAGTACAAAGATCGTTTGCTAGTAATAGAAAAACCATTTATTCATTCGTCTCGCCATGCAGGCCAATCTTTGCAACAAAGGCGGTGAAGTCATTGAACAACATGGCCGGCATCTCCAGGGCGGCGAAGTGGCTGCCGTGCTGGAAGTACATCGAGTGCTTCAGGTTGGGGAACTTGTCCCTCAGCTGCCAGTCGGTCGCCGAAGGCAGATCAAACCGGAAGCGGGCACAGCCCATTGGCACCGGGGTCTGCACCCTATCCAGCTGCAGACCCCTGTAGGCCTTGGACACGTTCTCCAGATAGAAACGAGCCGCCGTGGTGGCCGAGTTGGTCAGGTAGTAGACCATCAGGTTGTCCAGCACTGCCTCCAGGCCAAAGACCGTCACTATAGCGCCGAAGTCCTGCTTCAGGCCGGGATTCGTGCATGTCTGGAACTTTTCCAGGATGTAGGAGGCCAGTCCCACGGGATTGGAGGTCAGAGCCGCCCCGATGGTATCCGGCTTGGTGGCCTGAATGTGGAAGTAGCCGGTCTCCTCCAGTAGGTTCCGCCATTTGTCCCAGACGGGGAAGTGGTGATCCACAAAGAATCTCGAGGGCAGGTACTTCTCCGGGTAGAAGCTGCCCCAGATTCCCTTCAAAATGGACAGTGGCGAGTGCATGACGCACATGTTGGAGTGATAGCCGATCACATTCTCTGGGTAGAGAGTGGCCAGGTTGCTGCCAATAATGCTGCCCCAGTCTCCACCTTGGACAAAGAACTTCTTGTGGCCCAGACGCAGCATCAAGTTTCGCATCACGGTGGCCATTTCGGCGGCATTGAATCCGGGACGAGTGGCAGCCTAAAAAATTAAGGAAGTTATTATTTATAATTGCAGTTATTATATCAACAGATTAGTTTAAGATCACTTACATCTGACCATCCGTATCCCACGAGAGAAGGTGCCACGACCTCAAAAGCGTACTCCGTGATGTTTTGGTCCTTGGTGAGCATGGGTATGAAATCGAAGAACTCCCGCACCGATCCCGGCCAGCCATGGAGCAGGAGCAGGGGGTACACGTGCTTCTTGGCCTTGGCTTCCTCGGAGGCCTTCTCGTGAACGTAGTGAATATTCAAACTGCAGGGGAATCAAACATTTGGCATGCCATTCGGATTCTAAATGCTTTTTCTACCCACCCCTGAATCTCGGTCGTGTACTGCTTGAACGAGTTGAACAGTTCCTGGCGCTCATCCCACTTGGTCAGGTACTTGTCCCGCCAGTAGTTCACAAACTGCTCCAGGGCATAGGTGTTGAATCCGTACTCAAAGGCGATCCCCTCCAGGGGTTCGGTGAGTTTCAGGGTGCGGTTGAGCTGCTGCCTCAGATCATCGATTTCCGCCTGGGGCACCTGCAGCCTGAACTCGTAGATCTTCTCATCGGGCACAAAGTCCTTGCCATCGCCAGGACCCCAGTAGGTGGTGTCCTTGAACTCGGGCTTGGGCAGGGGCTTTGTTAGATCCAAGAACACCACGTAGCCGTAGCCGATGAATGCACCGAACAGGGCCACAATCAGCCCAAACACTATCAGGCACTTCATTCTGGCCACTGCCGCAATTAGCTCCCACTCGGTGTGAATTTAAATGAGCCTCCTCGTTATTCCCACCGGAGATAATGGTTCCCGATTCAGAATCCGAATCCGGGACAGAGACGACTGCGCTGTTAGAAAGCCGCTAAAGAACTGACTGCCAGCGCATTTCTCATTCCCCAAAATGTCTCGCAAAGCTCTATCGAAATTTTCTGTCGCCGTTATAGTATATGTTCGTATAATATTTATAAATTCGTTTAGATAGCGCTGGCTATCGCGCACAGTGGTTCAGAATATGATCTGTCACTTTGCTCTTAGTGCTTCGAAGCCATTTTTGACTATTATAAGGCAGTATTTGCTTTAAGTTCAAAGGTTAATTTGTTTGAGACTTCTGGTTTTTATGGGGTCACCATAAATTCTCTAGTTAAGGGGTGGATATGGATTTTTTAATGTACGCTTGGGTATTTTTTACCAATTTAACTTATTTATTAATTTATTTATTTATTAATAATTTATTCAACTTTTAGCACTTTGATAGATATTGACATGTACTCCATATGCTATGTACACTGAAAAAAATCTTCATCCTAAAAATTTTCAAAAGACAACAGAAATGCTAGACAGACTTTAGCGGTGTAGGCACTAGAGTTTAGAGTAGAGTCAAATATTTTATAGTAAGTCTTAAGAAATGTTCTTCCGATGAACTGAAATAAAACAATGCCACATCTCTTATCGAATTTAATTATTTTATTATATCTTATGTGTTTTTTTATGATCAAGACCAATGTGCGCTTGGGGTTAGTCTGCATGGTACTGGGTTACTTACCCACGTTTGCACCTTGAATCGTCCATTGATTTTAGAGCGAGATAGGCCGAGCCACACAAGAACACATAAGACAAGTGCGATGGTGACTTGGGAATAGTCCCAGCTACTTATAAGCAACCACTATCTTATCGGGGCTCTCTTGGTACCTATTTATTGGTAAGCGCTCCACCGGTAACTGATCATAAATCTCAGCCCTTCTTCCACTGATGATGTGGCTCCAAGCAAAGAGACGAAACATGAATGAAGTCTGCCGATCAGAGGGCCACGTAGCTACTGTCAGTTCATAAATAGAGTCCTAGATACTACCACTAAATTAATATCTTTTACAATGGCCAATCAGAGCAAATCCATTTGGTTACTATCCTCTGCTGGCCATAAACTGCAGTGTCACGTAAACACGGATCAACCCTTGGGTGTATTTCTGAAGAATAAATTTGCCCATGCAATCGGGATGTCCCCTGAGACGCTTATTTTAATCTTTGATGGGGAGGAAGTCCAGGAGCAGGACACCTTTGACTCTTTGGCCATGGAGGATGATGACATCATAGACGTTTTAGAAGGCAACTAGTGGTCGGAAAATCAAGTAACCAAGTAATTGCCCAGCAGAGTCAATGAACTTGTCGTGCACTTGTCAATAAAATGAAATAAAGATCGTTGAGTGTAAGAAAATAAAAATATATTAAAATGTAAAATATAAATATAAAATACCTTAAATGTTTATGTTAACTTGTTGTTTTTTTTAAACAGATTTTGTTATGTTATTTTAATAAACTTATTTAAACAGATAAACAGATTTTGTTATATTATTTTAATAAACTTATTTAAAGGAAAGTGTCTTGGCTTTTTCCAAAATTCTGAAATCACTTGGCTATCAAATAACTATTCAATAGAGTCTATTGTTTTCATATATGCAAACTTTCAAATCACAACTAAACTACATAATTTTTTATTTCCATGTGCTTTGAAAGCCGGGGATAATTTCTATAAATTGTGAGGTAGGCAACAATGCTGTCGACATGCAACTATCGAAGGATTCAAGGGGCAGGGAGACTCGAAAAACCCACAAAAGTGCCGCCAAACATGCAAGACAGCGAAAAGGGGGCGTGGTCGCCGTGGCAAAAACAATGATGTGAAACGTAATTCGAGCGAAATTAACGCAATTACTATGCCGCAGTCAAAGGACTCGAATTCACTTCCGATGCACTGCGGCTAAAAAAAGAAGTTTGTTCGCGTGCCGCAAACAAATCGCATTGATACTTGGAAGCGTGTCAAAGCTGCCACCTCCGGGGGAAATAGAGGTTCCTATTCCGGACCCGAATCGCAGGCCATTAATGCCGGTTCTGCCGGGCTAATTCCCATAATATTGAGTGTTCCAGTTACCGCTAAAGTTTGGCGCCCCGGCTACCCATAGCAACCCACCCAACCCTCGAGAGGGGCGTGGTCTTAATGGTCGCAATTAGTTTTTCATCCACCTGACACGCACTTGTCGTAAAAGTCCATTGAACCTGTCGCTAAATTGATTTTCATTCGGGCAGGCCTGGCAAAAGTGATTCAGTTTATTTCCATACTAAACAAATCCTATTTATAACCAAAACCCTAGAAAAGGTATGCCAAATCGTTCAAATGAGCGTTGGTTTGTTATCATAACACTGGCTTCATGGAACTTAATCAGCGGATTCGGGTTTTATGCCTACGTTCTCGATTGTTATGGTTAGTGAATCCCCATATTATCTATTTAATATTTAAGGTTATTTTCTTTTTATGCAGTAAACTATCCGCCTGATCACCGGAAAAGGAAGTTCAAATATCACACATTTCCCGGAACTATTGACTACGATGTAGTTATAGGCGTTACTGCCGTAATGCTTTGTCTGATATTATCCTCGATACTGTTGTGCCTGGCATTAAATGAGGTGAATAGAGTACATAATCCAACGATCTATCATTACTTACTGCGTTTCAGTCCAAAAGAATATGTTTAATTTATGGAATTTGTATTAGCATGACTTTTCCGTGTGCCTGTCTTCCGGTTTGGCCTTTAGCTGGTAAGTAATTCTATATTCCGTCAATCCCGTCATTAAATTGCCCTTTCAACAGTAACACACGTCACCCTAGTTTTAATAGTCCTTAGTTACTATTTTGGATAAATCTAAGCATTTTGGATATTTGGAGTTAAGCCGACGACGAACGATGGACCTGCACATCAACACAAAATTATTGACAGCCAGAAAGTAGACAAATAAAATATACTTTATGTGTTTTTCAGTTTCTTTTATAAGTAAGAGGAATTCTTATCTGTATAGCTATTCCTTAAAAAAAAACTTTGCTTATAATGTTTGTTTATAAAATAATATATATATCTGCAGTATTTATATTTCATATCAGCCCGAAAGTATATTACAATTTTGGTTCTAATAGCATTACTTATAAAAAGCAAGATGTTTTTATTACATATTTACTGAAACAAGTAGAAATATCTTTAATAAGTGTTTCTGGAACTTAGAAGTTGTTTTCAAGATTGTAGTCCTCATTACCCCAGGGAAACTCTTGCTTCTCCGGTGGTCCTTCCCCTTTTGAGCCGATTTCAAGTTCTTGATCATCTGCCGATGATTGGCCTGTGACGTGTCCCATCTGAAAAGTAAATATTTTGTTTCAGATTCGTTATTAACTTTTTTCTTACTCTATACGCACCCAGCAGGCCAAAATAATGGCCAATATATTCATCAATATCGATTGTAAAAACATTTTTCTGTGCTACCTCCGCACTGGACTGCTGTTGGGAAACTGTTTCCATTTGTTTGCCCTCTGCTTTTAATCAATTAATGCGCATTAAATATTTATATTTGTGTTTTCGTTTTTTACATACATACAAACACCGCTTTTATCTGCCGCTGTTGCTGCAGCGACAATTTTTAATAAATCCATGAGACAGCAGGTCAATATTTTTATTTTTAAGAGGGCATTCATAAATAAATATAAGTTTAATATATATAAGCATTTAAAAAATTAAGTTTAATACACATATTTAAAAAACCTTTTTTGCGTGTATATTATTCGAACTAACATTTAGAATTGACTAAATATTTTTATTTACCATTTTAAGGTCCTTAAACTAGGCTCTTGGGAGCGTTTTGGACATTAAAGAGGTAATAGTTGAATATAGGGGCTTCAGAGTTTATTTATACATAGGTCTTGTCGCCTTTAATGAAAAACTCCTATATTTATTCGAACTCGAGCAAGGTCAAGGTCATTTGTTTGTCCTCTGCTTTTAAACGATTATTATTCATATTTGTATTTTTGCTTATTTACATACATACAAACATCGGACCTTATCTGCCGCTTTTGCTGCATCGAGAATTTCAAAAAAGTCCGTGGGACATACAAAATGTCAATATATAGAGGGCATTTATAAGTACTAAACACGTACCCCTTTACTATTTAGGTACTTGGTCTATAAAAAACTTTATATATTTAAACTTTATGATAAAAAAATTAACTTTAAAATAACTTTGGATAGAAATACATATGATCATTTTTGGTACTATATTTCGCAAAATCTTAATTGGAATTTAGAAGTTTGGTAATCGGTAGGTATAAAGCTGGTTTCGAGATTTCACTGGGGTTGGGAAATTCCGTAAGGTCCGCCCAAGCGCTGACAACATTCTCCATTTACACCGACCTCGTGGCGTGCATCCCTGGCCCCCACCGACTCCCTGAAGACTAAGAGGGTACTGGGGTGGTGGAGTGGGATTCATGGTCATATCGTCGGGCATCAAATGGACCAAAGTAGCTTGGTTGATCTAATGATGGACAAGCTTTAGACTGTTGACTGATAATTCTACTGCAGCTTGGAAGCTCTTTTATAGGACAATTGTGGGTCTGCAAAAGGGAATTCCAGATGCAACATTATGTGTGTACCTACGGCATAGATCTAAAATTAATAATACAAATTTGGATATTTTAAATTTGCTATGTACTTACTAACTTTAAATCTCTTCTTAAAGTAAAAAAATTAATAACTTGCATTAGGGAAAGATAAAAAAAAACCAAAAATGATAAGTCTTTAAATAAAGATAACACTACTACTACTACTACTATTTGTACACTTAGATAAAAAAGTACGATTATACACGTACATATACGTAAATAGATCTCACCTGGCTATTATGGGGACCTTTGAGTATTTTGGCCATACCAGTGGAAATATTTGGGAAAAATACTTTTATCACTTCTCCAACCTTTCATAAAAAATTCCGTTATTTTCTCGAACTTGAACGTTCCAAAAGCTGGGAGGACTTTCTTGTATAGATTAGGTAATCAACTCAAAAACGTATTGTCTAAGTGATAGTAACTTTAAAACGGTAGCGTACATTTATAAGCTCAGTGGGCGGTCCCAAAAATGAAATCTTGTTCTCAGCCCTTCACATGGTTGAATAAGGTGTTAAAAAAATGTATTCAAAAATAAAAATTTTTGGATTGAGTTTTAGACCTTGAAAAAAGTCTTCATAGTTTTTTTTTTTAAATTACTTAACAACATGTAACTTTTTTCAAAAAAACGATTTTCCTTCCCCAACTTTGTCAACCCTCGTATCTCGGTCAATACGGTCAATTACCGAAATGTTTTTGGAATGAAAACTAAAGTCAGATCTAGATACAACGACTTTCCATACAAGTCAGGGCCACCTACTTAAAAATAATATATTTGATCAAACTTAAAAAGTTTGAAACCAATTCGCAGACCCTATACAACGTATTTTTCAAAAAATTTCGTTTGGTATACCTTAAATTCCTCACTACAAATGTGGACCGCCCCAAAGCTCATATTCAACGTTTTTTTAGCACTTCTACATATTTTTACAGTTTAGTATGATTTCTTTAAGATAAATAAAATCAAGAGTCTTGGAGAAAAATAACCTGGTGTATAGAAATAAATTTCCCCTTTTCCGGGGTTCCCTTTAGATGACCGGCGAACGGTATAGAGTTCCAATTATTAGACAATGATTACCGTAGGTGAATGTTCTGAGCAGATAAGATTGCATCGGGGATTCCTTTTGGCAGAGCCGCAATTGTCCTATAAAAGTGCACTCAAACTGCAGTGGTATTATCAGTCAACAGTCTCAAGCTTATCCACCGAGATCAACCGAGATGCAGTCTACCATATTCTTCGGCTTGCTCATCTGCGCCATCGGCGCTACTTTGGCCCATCCGATGCCCGAAGATATGACCATGAATCCCACTCCACCACCCCAGTATCCTCTGAACCTTCAGGGCGGAGGTGGAGGTCAGAAAGGCGATGGATTTGGCTTTGGTGTGCAAGGTCACGAGAAGGTATGGACCAGCGACAACGGGCGCCACGAGATCGGTGTAAATGGAGGATATGCCCAGCACTTGGGCGGACCTTATGGAAACTCTCCACCCCAATGGAACGTTGGAACCAGCTACACCTACAGATTTCCAAATTTCTAAAATCCATTTAACATTTTGAGAAATATATTGCCAAATATTATTATACGTATTCCTGTCCACAGTTTTTATTTATCAAAATTGTCATTAAAGTCTCGCTTTAAAAACCACATCCACTTTGTATGTTCAGAATATTGCGAAATATATTACCGAATATAACCAAATGTATACCTGACCATAATTTCCATATCTGAATTGCCATCAAAGTCCTTGACGTTGTTTGTTTACCCCGGAACATTCAGGCAGACTTCTAGAGACAGAGGTTGGGTCACAGATGATCTTGCAGTTTGGCTAATTGTTGATACATCTTGTTTGGCCAACTCCGCCGGGTAATAACAAATTACGATGACAGGCGGTCTTAATGAAACCTGCCAAGACAAAATGTTTTTTGCTAATTGGATTTATTGCGTAAACTGTCTAAAGAACCTTCGATGGAAATTTATCATGCCGCTGGCGCATCATCCGCAACATGCGCAGGCCAACCCAAAGATTTAAAAATTACGCAATCCCCAACGAAAGCGAAGAAGATTCGCTCGAATATTTGAAAAATGATTCATGAAGAGTCTGTGTTCTTAACTCTTTTACAACCAAATTTGGGGATTACCAAAAGTTTTTCACATCATTAATTTGACCTAAGGAAAGCCAAATTGAATTGACCTTGTACAATGATAAATCGATTTGGGAAACTAAGCAATGCCTGGAGCACCGGAACCTGTGGGTTGATTATTCTTGTTTTCATGGGAGGAAGTCGCTTTTTGGTGAAAGTCATTTCAAGACAGAGATTTTTTATAATGAAAAAAATAAAGGTTAAGTTGTTACAAATTATAACTGATTAAAAAAGTAGAAGTGTGCTCCAGAAACACTGTTACTGATGCTGAAGATTTATGATGTGCTTAAAAATCAGGTCATCGCAAAGAAAGTATGTGCCAAAAAGATAAAACATAGATAAGCCAGTTAACCAAAACTAAAAAAAAGGTAAAAAGTTAAATGCAAGAATTTAGTTAAGATCTAGAAATTTAATATATATTTTTCTAAGTTAATTTTTTAACAATAAACTGATAGCTGCTTTTAATTAAGCTATGCAAAATTAAATATGCATGTTTATTAACCCATCTTTAATGTTATTTTCTTCATGAATGTTATATCGACTGAGTTTATCTAGGGAGCTTTCCTAACTAAAACCGCAGTAGCTGATTATTATCACAGCTGCCACACATTATTTCTTCTGAAATCGAAACACATCTACATTCTTTGTCTCTCGTTGGGATTCCCTCTGTCGTCTGTCTCTGTTTATAGAGCCTACACGTACTTCTTATCAATAAGACTGGGGATCCACTGGTGAACCACAAAACCATCATCTTGAATGGAAATCCCAAGTGGGGAATCATCTGCCAATATTGATAAGCCACAGATTTGAGCTATATAAGCGTTGAACTTGGTTCTAGCCGTATTCAGTTGACAAAGTCGAGTCACAGCAAAATGCATTTTACCTCCAGTTTTCTACTCATTGCCCTGGGCTGTGCCTGTGCCTTCTCCAGCTCCTTGGCCTATCCCTATCCTGATCCCCGAGAGATTGTGAACCTTCAGCCGGAGCCATTGGCAGTAAGTTATTAAGGGACGATTGATTAAGAGCACTGTTTAATAATATACTTTCTTCAGTACTCTCCCGATTTCGACGTTGTGCCCTTACACAGAGTGCGTCGCCAGTTCCAACTGAATGGCGGTGGCGGTGGAAGCCCAAAACAGGGATTCGACCTGAACCTCAACGCCCGTGCTCCAGTTTGGCAGAGTCACAATGGACGCCACTCCTTCGACGCCACGGGCTCGTATGGCCAGCACCTGGGAGGACCCTACGGCAACAGCCGACCCCAGTTTGGAGCCGGGGGTGTTTACACCTATAGGTTCTAGGAAACTAGTAAAACTTTTTAATATTTATTAAATTACAAATAAAATTATAAATTGCAAATAAAAGACATCTCATAAATAAATTGTTTTAGCCATTTTAGTAACAAACAAGAAAGGAAGTTAACTTCGGCAAGCCGAAGCTTGTATACCCTATGATATTCCCAATAGTATAAGATAATATGTCAGAAAACACCAAAGCTATAATTTGTTTCATATTATTTTACCACCAATTTTCCGATTGTTCCTATGGCAGCTATATGATATAGTCGACCGATTTTGATAAATTTAAATTCGTAATTCAGAACTAATTAAAAAATGTTTAAAAAAAGGCTGGGACACTCCAAGCTCACGCACGAACACATAATAAACAAACAAGCAGCACCGCAATGTGAGCGCTGCAACACATCGATCACCATCAAGCACATTCTCCTCTCTTTCTATCAGAAAGAAACAAATTCCTACCCTCAAACCCGTCAGAACTTCTTACCCCCAACACCCCCAATATCATAGCTTCCATGAATTTCTTAAAGGCAATAAAATTATACCATGTAATTTAAAACCTAGACATAGTCTATATGTAAAAATGTAAATTGTATATAACAAACGTAGCTTAAGGCCACAGTAGCTATAGCTACAATGAAAAGCATAGGCTATAGGTAATTTCTCAATTGCCTTTTAGCCTGAGAATAAATAAATAAATAAACAAAAACAAAATTTTGTTGCGATTGTTCCTATGGGAGGTATAAGATATAGTGGCCGATCCGGCTGGTTCCGACTTATATACTACCTGCAAAAGATATAAGACTTTTGGGAAAGTTTCAGCCCGATAGGTTTGAAACTGAGAGACTAGTTTGCGTAGAAACGAATGGACAGACGAACATGGCTAGATCGACTCGTCTAGTCATGCTGATCAATAATATATATTCTTTATGGGGTCGGATACATCTCCTTCACTTCTGACTGATATTATTATATCCTCTGCAAGGGTATAAAAAGGAGAATTATATTTTAACACCGGTGTCCTTCCCATTCAATGGAACTTTAAACCAATAGCCCAATTTTTTGAGAAGCTGCTAGTTCATTTTAAATTATTGAAAATTCTTCCACGATGCGCACCCCTTAAAGTTACTGATTTACAGACTGCTGAGATATAATAGATTCTAAGATAATTTAACTTTTTTAGTGAATTTTTCCTTACAAATACCGAAGTCATGTTCATTTTCTTATTATTTTCGTATTAATGTTTCTATCTGAAATGTCTTATTTTTTGCATCTTAAGGAAGCATAGAGTTTTGAGGCGAATTAGTTCAAATACAACCTTTTAAAATCTAACAGAACAATATAAACTTTATTAAGCTGATAGAAGATATAAAATTACTATATGAGCTCTAACGATGTCCTATTGGTTTTCTAAGCAATTTTTTGCCAGCGAATAATTTAGACTTATGTATGGTTGCATTTATTTTAGTTCTTAATATTCAACTATTTAGTGCCATGTATTGTCCCAGGGTAGTTCCTTATCAGTCTGATTGTAAGCAAAGATTGTTGGATCTGGCTGAGGTACCGCAAACTATATTGTAAAAGGAAACAATTTTAGTTTTTAATGCAAAACTTAAGCCAAGGCACTCACCTCCTGCCATTCATCCAAGTTTCCCGACCCTCCGCCCACAGAACGCCCTTGGATAAGGCCAACTAAGTAGAGAACAAACCAAAGACTCAGTATGCCCAACATTTCACCGAGAGATGCTGCGTCCGACTAAATTTACGCCCCGATTTAAAGCGCCTTCGGTCCCAGTTCTCAACTTCCCGGCTGATAAGACCCTGATAAGGCCGACGAACACTCGGATGTGTGTCAAGAGCTCGCTGCCAGACTAGAGACCATAGCCCCTGGATTCGAGACCAGGTCAAAGCTAGAGCCAAAGCCAAACCCAGCTGAACTGTATTAAATTTGGGGAACGTGCAACTGGCAGCCAAATTTGGCACGTTTTCTGTTGAAATCGAAAAGAAGCCAAAACAAAAGCAGCACAACAGACCCGAAAAATGGAAAAGCAAAACAAATTTAAATGTTAGAAGCAACAATGAAGGTCAGGCTATGATGACTTTTTTCCTGCACCGAACCCCCATCCTCCAAAAAAAGAAACAACCGAAACAGAAATTTCGTTGCGCTTGCCTCTGTTTTGTTTTTCAGTCCAACTCGTTGTCTTGGGTTAACTGGGCAAGTTCCTTTTTGATAGCTTCAATTTCTGGCCAATTTTTCTTTTCATACCCTGCGTTATGGGGTATATTCTCATTGCCACATTTTACAAAAAGGTATAAATAACTATCACAAAATCAGTATCCAAATTACGAATCCTTACAGCACACCTAAGTACCTATTTAAAAAATTATAAGAAAACTAAAAACCCTTATTTTGCAAATAGTTTTCAAGAGTATTTGATGCCTCAATTGGCCAAAATTTAACCCCATCCCAGCTGCACTTTTCTCCTCTGCTTTCCATATCATTTTCATATGGAGAGTGCTCCAATTCAGTGGAAGAGCTATTTTCTAAATCAATGCGCAAATTGTCAAAGTCAAAAGCGGGAGAATTTCTATTGTTTAGCTCCGCTCTGTTTTCCTTTGCTTTGCCCTGACATGGAAAATTGGCTCGCTCGGAAAATTGCCAGATCGAAGGGAGTGCAGGGGAAATGGGGGGCCTAAAGTGGGTGGATTGTTTTCCAAATTGCACATGTGGCAGTCAACTCATTTGTCAAGTGGCAAATCAGTTTAGGCCGAGACAGTAACACAGAGCCAAAGAGCGAGTTAGAGACGGCGATAAAATCAACTTTGCATTTTCCATGTACTTCAAGTTGACGGTGAAGTTTTCCCGTCGCCGTTTTTGATCGTGACGATCGACGGCATTTCCCACGCAAACTTGCCTTTGCACCGAAGGCAGTTAAATTGTTTGACACACTCAACACTCGGCTCTTGTCTTTGATTGTATCGGAAACCGAACAAACATTGCTGAAATTTATGCTCTCCATAGGAAAGTTTCTAATTAGAAAGTTGGTAGGGGTGGCGGCTGATGGGCCGCGGAACTCATCTCCCACTAATGGCTTTTTAATGAAGCCACCGAGAACTTGCCCACCGGCGAGACTAAGTAACTCAAATTAGGCGTATTAATTATGACTGACACTGTTAGCTGGCCAAGAAATGTTAGAAATGGCCAAGCGGAAAGTGCAAGAGTTAGCAGGTGCCAGACAGACTCTTGGCTTTTCGCATTTGCATCTGACATTTGCCAAGATGCGCCGACCTCCTCCTCTCACTCCACTGCACTCCACTCCCCTTCGAGAGACAAAAAGCGGGATCGCGGCATTTTGGCCTGCTTACTGCATTTGGCCAAAATGTCTATAGTTCAATTGCTGATATTTTGGCCAGACACACGACGGAACACGTGACCTATGCAATGGAGCAGCGGAGCAGCAGCCGATGAGGCATCGCCAAAGAGCGTGAGTCTCTCGCGATGGCTGCGTGACACGAAAAGGGGATCCGAATCGGGGTCACCAGGCAGCTAAAAAGGGAGTCGGATGATCTCTTATTATACTTACCGCTGGAATGTCAACAATGCTGTCACTTACATTTATATTTTAACTCTTAGGACCCTATAATAAAAGAAAAACTTTTTGTTTTTAAAATATATTTATATATATATCCTCTGTAGGATATTATAAAATAATTATTTTTAAACTTATATTTACTTACTTGAGTTTATTTAAGTCTACAGAATTTATTTAATATCCTATGAAATCTATTGTTATTATCTATCAGTATTTTATTGCCAGAATCTATTGGAACTGAGAGATCTTTCGTAACTCTAATGTTTTTAATTTACATTTTTAACATGTAAATGCTTTTATGTAGGAATATTCGACCAGCTTAAAGAAAACTCTAGCTAATTTATACCACTTTATAAAGACCATTTTTAGCAGTTGCCAGAATCGTCTTTAACCCTCGAGAACTAATTCGTCTTAAAAATAACACGCTATCATCCCTAAGGATCTGTTAAGTTTGCGATGGGCAACAGTTTAATAAATTGTTTGACTTCGATTTAAAATAAATTGACATCAAACGCTGCACAAATCATTTGGTGCAGTATATTTATTCTTTTTTTCCCTCCTAATGAAGGTTGCCTGTTGTGGTTGTTGCTAGTTGCAGCCAGGTATTGCTGTTGTCATGCAAATTGGACTCACGTTTTGCACATTAAGCAACCGTCAATTGTTTCAACAAATGCAATGATTGAGTTCTTGGCACCTGGCCAAGCCTCGATGGCCCTAAACCCCACTCACCAGCTTTTTTTAGCCATAAAAACCCGCATGTGTTGCATGGGGAGAGCCTGGCTAATTGGAGTCCAGCGGCAGGCAGCAGCAGCAACTGCCGACCAGCAACATTGACCAACAGGAAGGAGACAGGGAATGATGCCTCAACTTCATCTCGATCTTAACAGTAAAAATGAAGACAAAAATATTTACCGTAACGCATTAAGAGAACAAGAACAAAAGTTACTGATGCTGCTGATGTTGCTGCTGCTGCCGGCAGTTGCAAGTTGCAAGTTGCACGTTGCAGTATCAATAGTAATTTGAGGCGGCTCTTTGGGGGAGGAGAGATAGTGTCGTAGGTCAGGCAGCAGCAGCAGTTTAAGCCGACTGCAATTTGTGGCCTACGAGCAGCAGCAGCAACTGCAACGAGCAACCAGCAACCAGCAACAGCAGCAACTGCAATGACGATTTGTAGCCAATTATTTCAAATATTGTATTGAAATTGTAGGCCAGTGTGAGTGTGTGCTGGTATCTGTGTGTGGTTATCTCTCGATTGGCATCTGCAGCAGGCCCAGTACTTGTGTCCCTGCCCCCGGGCTCCTCCCGCCCCACTCTCTCCAGCCAATTTCCCCAATCTCACGTAGCCCGTTCGAGTGTGTCACAAGTGACCACTGCAAGTCCGGCCAGTCCGAGTGGTTGCCAATCGATGGCAAATCTCAAAACCAGCAGTCCGACTCTCGGCTAAGGTCGCAGACTCCGCTCGATTCCCACAACCTGACGCATCTTTGTCATGTGTCCGATTAATCACCACTCTTAGCCTCAACTTCACTTCCAGAACGACCCGACTTGGCCCGGCCAACAATGGGTCACGTCAACCGGCAACTGGCAGCAGCAGCAGCACGCGCTGGCTGACCTTTGTTGCAGCAGCAGCAGCAGCAGCAACAGCCGCCCATCAGCAACAGCAACAGCTACAGCAGCAATCTGACATTCATACGTTAATTTTAGCTTGTTGCATCAGTCAGATTGCCGGTGTCATTGTCTCACACTTACACTGCACAGCAAAAATGTTGCAGAAAGTAATATGTCTTGAAAATAGTTAACCTATGAGGGTGGTACTTTAAAAAATACTCAATCACATGTAAAGAAAATGTGAAAAAAGAGGTGTTAATTATTTTTCAATAATAGGGAGACCTTCAGGTTGGTCCACTTTTTGTTTCCTTTTCGTCATTGCCATATGAAACGTATTTTGTTGTATATCATTAAAAGGCTTCATCTTGTATCTTTTAAGAGGATTAAAGGAATATTGCCTTAAAAAAAGGACTACAAGTGGGCCGACCTTAAATATCAATAAGAACTTATGCAATAAGCTCCTTAAACTTCTAGAAACTATTTCTTTTAGTTAAATAAATGCTCTTATATTAAGTTTAAAAAACTACTTTACATGTGGTAAAGAGTTCTATTGGTTATTTTTGTTATTTGTGTTGTTTTGATTTTGTACAGAATTAAAAAAAAGTCAAGAATCAAGCCTAGCTTAAGCATGGTTAATAATTTTTTTACTAAAATTTTTGTCACCAAAAAGCCTATATATCGAATATAATAGGTTTATTCAGTTTTTTCATTAACTTTTTAGTCGTGATTCTTTTGTTTTTTTTTAATTATAACTTTTCAAGTGTAATATTGCTTACTTAGCATCCTAAGAACCTATTTTTAGTACAATAAAATATGTTAATGATGCAGGAAGATAAAAAAGCTCGTTTAGGACTTTTATTTGTATTGCAGTTTTCTCATTAATACCTCATTATAAGGATACTTCTGGCTTGTTTATTGATTAATCGATGACAAATTTATTGGCCATAAATACGATGCTAGAAAAATGTTAACGATAATTTAAGTATATGCCAACGATTTATATTTCATCGTTCTGAGAATCAAAATCCCGCTTTATGGGCAGTCAAGCCCACAAACCATAAAATCACTGCTGCCTAGTGTGGATTGGTAATCATGCATTTAAAATTCAGCAGCACGATCAACAAAAACAATCGGCAACCGGCTAACAACCAACAAAGAAGCCCAAGAATGCAATGCAACGGCAATTGTCTGGTCTTGGCCAAGGCAAAAACTTATTAATACCTTATTAGACAAGGGTCGAAGTCGTCGGCAATCCGTCTCCATGGAATATCAATGAGAACGGCCCCGGCGACCGCGGTGGCATTTCCGTTTGCCCGCCAACTAGTCCCATGGTGGCACCATGGGCGACAAAGCAACGGTGACCGATCAATTCGCGTCTCGGTTTTTGGCTTGCAGTCGCAGTTGCAGTTGCAGTTGCAGTCACAGGAAATGCAATCATAAATCGCCCATGATGACGATGACCATGGCAGAGTCTCTGTCCTATGCCTCGGCCTTCTCCCTCGGCCAACTCCCTCGGAATCGGGCGATGTTTATGTTCATGGCTGGCAATTAGCCT